CTTTCCCTAAAATAAGTATGTTCTGCAGTAAACTGGTAATTATGGATGATGATCTTATGGCTAAGGTGATTAGATTGTTTGTGCTTCAAAATGTTCTGAATCTCTTGTCTTTTGCTCTGTAAAATAATTACAGGGATTACTGTACTCTTTTGATGGGAGCAGCTCTGCTGTGAGGACAGGCTGAGAGAGTTGGGGCTGTTCAGCCTGGAGAAGAGAAGGCTCCAGGGAGACCTTCTAGTGGCCTCCCAGTACCTGAAGGGGCTCCAGGAAGGCTGGGGAGGGACTTTGGCCAAGGGCAGGGAGTGACAGGACAAGGGGTGATGGCTGTAAACTGGCAGAGGGGAGATGGAGCTGAGATGTGAGGAAGAAATTCTTTGGTGTGGGGGTGGTCAGACACTGGCCCAGGTTGGCCAGAGAAGCTGTGGCTGCTTCTCCCTGGAAGTGTTCTCGGCCAGGCTGGATGAGGCTTTGAGCAACCTGGTCTAGTGGAAGGTGTCCCTGCTGCTGGCAGGGGGGTTGGGACTGGATGATGCTAATTGAAGGTCTCAGCATCAAGTCTCAATTATTTCTTGTCTCTCCAATGCATCATCTTGGTTTATTGCTCTTTTGACATTGTTTTCTTCTACAACCTTCAATTAAGACCCTCACTGTTTAAGAAGTAACTGTAAAAGGGAACATTTTATGAGATGGGCTGTGTGCTATGGGTGGACTTTCACAAGGTGTTGGGGTTTTATGGACTCAAATCCCTTTGGGCATCTGTTTCTTCTGTATTTAAAACCAAAGAGTTAGCACATGGGATCTGTTGGCAGTGCTATGATAATTATATCCCATTCTAAGCTCAGAGAAAGCTTAAAATCAGGCTTTTGGTAACTGATCCCACTGTAGGGCAACTGTGGCAAACCAGAGAATCGGGATAACGTTGGCTTTGAAATACAGATCACAGTTACATTTGACTCCCAAAATGTATCTGCACAGGCGTTGTGATGAGGACTGCGGGTAAGCAATACTGGACAACTTCCATGTAAAGGTGCTTTAAAAAGGTGAAGGGATGACATTCTAATCCACTGAAGTCCATCAGAATTTTGCCAATTGCTTCTTCACTCAAGCCAGGAGCTTGTGAAAACACAGAACTGCTTCCCAGGTTGTTAAGGTTGTGACATTTCCTGGCATGAACAAGGACATATTAAATCCATCAGCGTTTCTTGTGGCCTCTTATTATTCCTGTCTGTCCTGTCTTGGTTTTCTTCCCTTGTTTACAATTGATTCTACCTTAGTATTTCCTATGTTTGTCAGCATGTACCACAACTTTAACATTATTTAAGCCCAGGTTTTTAAATTTAACTAGATGGTAGAGGCAATTAATGATGCCATCTGTCTTGTGAAAGAGAGATTACACAAAAGATTGTGCTCCTGAAAGCACTATTTTTTTGGCAAACAAGAAATCCTATTAGACTCTCTCAGAACATTTGCTCACTAATTTCATAAGTGCCCACTTTAATGCAGTAGCTGAAAGGCTCAGATACATTTCCTGGAGGTACAGTGTATTTAGGCATCCTTTCAAAGTTATATTTTACAGAAAATATCAACTGATACATGATATTTTCAGTAAAACTAAAAATTAAATATATCATTGAACATCTGTTACCAATACAGTCTGGGTATTTAAATCCTTAAAAATCCCTGAAACCTTCATAAAGTGCCATGCTGCATAAATACAACTCTTTAGGAAATGGGAAGGGCCAAATAAGTGAAAATCTATTTCTGGCTTTGCAGGCTGAGCAGCTGTGTGCTGCAATCCATATGTTCACACGTACGTGCCCTGTGCACTTGTGCAAAGGGGGCTTTGGGGCAGAAGAAAGCGATGGTTGGACTTTGAGTGTCAGGCTCTTCATCTGAAGGCCTTTAAAAATCTACATGTCATAAGTGTAAAATTAATTTTGCTCTGAACAATGGGGGATTGCTTATATTTTTTAAGGTGCTTATATTTTTTTTAGTTAGTATTTTCTTTCAACATGCTGTTGTCATATTTTTGCATTCCTTTGGAGCACTTGTAGCGTGATGGATAAGGAACAGTGCACATCTGCCAGATGATTCAAGAGGAAAGCCAGAGTGAAGAGAAATGAGGAAGCAATCTCTGTTTGGGACACTGTAGAGCTTTGTGCCCATCACAGACACAGCAGTGTCTTTACTCTCTTGCAGTTCTTGCAGCCTACACTGACAAAAAGGTGACATGGAGGTGCTGGAGCGTGTCCAGAGAAGGGCAACGGAGCTGGGGAAGGGTCTGGAGCACAAGTGTGCTGAGTTCCCTTGTGGCTGAGGGAACTGGGGGTGTTGAGCCTGGAGAAAAGGAGGCTGAGGGGAGACCTTGTGGCTCTGTGCAAGTCCCTTGGAGGAGGGTGGAGAGAGGTGGGGGTGGGTCTGTTCAACCAAGGCCCAAGGGACAGGACAAGAGGAAATGGGCTCCAGTTGTGGCCAGGGCAGTTGAGATGGGATGTGAGGAAGAATTTCTTTGCTGCAAGGGTTCTGAGGCATTGGAAGGGGTTGCCCAGGGCAGTGGTGGAGTCCCCATCCCTGGAGGGATTGAAGAGTCGTGTAGACACAGTGCTGAGGGACATGGGTTAGTCATAGGGGACTGGTCAGTGTTGGGTTCATGGTTGGACTCCATGAGCTTAAAGGGCTTTTCCAATCAAGGCGATTCTGAGAGTCACCTTTTTCATTGTTTTGTTCCCCGTCGCAGCCCTGTGTTTCTTGCAGCAACAGTGAGAGAACTGGATTAAGTTCAGTTTAGGCGCAGAGGAAAAGATGAGGCAGAACATACTGAAAGGAGAATTACAGAGCTGGGAATGTTTAGTAGGGTATTCTACTTCCATTCCAATCCAGTGGCTTAAAAAGCCCCATGAGGAGGACGGCTTCGGGGCTGCCAGCCTCGGCTGTGCGGGCAGCTCTGGGGTTGGGAGGAGCAGAGTACTGACGTCTCTGAAGCCCATCGATCCACCCTGGTGTTACGGTTCAGTTAATGCTTTGTGGGATGCTCTCAGTGAGAGATGTTCTTCTGCGTTCACATGCGCATCCTGGAGCAGCTAGAACAAGTCCAGAGGAGGCCCCCAGGATGATGCGAGGGCTGGAGCAGCTCTGCTGTGAGGACAGGCTGAGAGAGTTGGGGCTGTTCAGCCTGGAGAAGAGAAGGCTCCGGGGAGATCTTATAGCGGCCTCCCAGCACCTGAAGGGGCTACAAGAAAGCTGGGGAGGGACTTTTCATAAGGGCAGTTAATGACAAAACAAGGGGAAATGGGTTTAAGCTGAAAGAGGGGAGGTTTAGATTAGATATTAGGAAGAAGTTCTTCACTGTGAGGGTGGTCAGACACTGGAACAGGTTGCCCAAGGAAGTTGTGGCTGCTCTTCCCTGGAAGTGTTCTCGGCCAGGTTGGATGAGGCTTTGAGCAACCTGGTCTAGGGGAAGGTGTCCCTGCTGATGGCAGGGGGGTTGGGACTGGATGAGCTTTAAGGTCCCTTCCAACCCAAACCATTCTATGATTCTGTGATCTGAAGATTTCTCCAGACAGAATGTAGCCTTTTCTGTGAGTTAGTTTCAAACCAAACCCACAATGTTGTCATTAACCATCTTCCCATCTTACATTCCGTAGGACAGAGCTCAGGGCCTGTTCTAGGGCCCTCGAATTTAAGTTTTCAGACCATCCCAGCAGCTGCCACGAGATGGCAGCTGGATAAGATCCTGTCAGCAGCGCTGCTGAAATAATCCATTCTACTGGGAATTTTAAAAGTCATGAAAGAAGCTCTCTCTTCAACGCCCAACTTGCATTAATATTTTACTAATTGATATTTTAAGTGTCGTTCATCCACTTCTTTAAAATTAGCAGGTGTGCTCTTTACAGTAACACAGCCATCAATACTAGATGGAGATAAAACAGTTAAACTGGAAAAAGAAAAGCCATAATTTAGTAACTCTTTAAGAATTTGTTTCCTTCCCTTCTCAAGTCTTCTCCCATTTCAAAGCCAAAGCACTTTTATGGCAGTTGGAAAGAATTACACAATAATTCTGACTGTATTCACTTGAGGTGTCTTCACCACGAAGCGCAGGCTGTTAATCTGCGCGCGCTGAAGGAGAGCGTCTCCTGGCAGCGCTCGGCAGCCTGTGTAAAAGGGAAAAATTCCAGACTTCATCGTGGTTCCTTGGACAAAACAGCCAGTAAGTCTGGCAGGATGTCTTTCTAAATGGTTTTGTTTTGTTTTTTCCAATAATTCTGGAAAGTCCTAATCTGTGCTTTGCTTGGTTTAATCTAAAAGCACTCTTAAGACTATCTAAACTCTTAATTGCTGGCTCTGGTTTTGTTTGTTTGTTTTGTTTTTTTTTTAAAAAAACTCCAAACAAACAAACCATAATTAATAATAAAAATCCAGATCTGATTATCTTTGAACTTTCATTTGTTGTTTGAAAATCAGTTATTGGTGCTATACTTCACTGAGCTCTGTTCCTCTTTAATTTCTGATCACGTAAGTGTCCTGAAAATCCCAAGATCTCGAGTTAAAGGTCCTTAAATTATGCTAATTTTCTATGCAGCCTTATCAGGACACGACACCTACGATGGTAAATACCTACACGTGGTGTGTAGCTCTGCCATATTCTTGCTCTTGCATTAGATGTTCCTCTCAGTTCATGTTCCTCTCCCTACCTGCTGCTGATGGCAGCCGTAGCCGTACTGATTTAGCTTTGTGCCAAAGAGCACTTTCAAAGCAGTGGAAATATGGTGGTGGAAAGTTTGGGAGGTGGTGGAGTCCCCATCCTTGGAGGTGTTTAAAAGCCAGGTAGATGGGGTGCTCAGAGATCTGGTTTAATAGTGGACAGGTATGGTTGGACTCAATGATCTCAAAGTTCTTTTCCAACCAGGCAATTCTATATGATTTTATTCTATATGTGATCTTAGCATGAGCCTGGTGACATCTTTACAGAAAATGAGAAGTCATCAACTATGGAGTCCACCTAATTAGAATTCTTTAGACACAGATACAAAGGATTGTGGTGCTTTTTATTTATTACAATTAATTTGAGGTCATTTAGCTCAAGGGACACCTGCTAACTTCAATATGGTTAACATGTGCTTAGTAGGATATAACGAGCTACCCCTGTCCATTTGGGAATATATATTGATATATTATTGGTGAAAGGTGCCAGACTGATAGAGCCAGCACACAGATGTCCACATAAGGAGCTGCAGAGCTGTTACCTTCATGCAGCTCCACCAGCCAGACTCAGACCAGCTGAACTTCCATCCTTCCTTAAAACTCCCTGAAATGGTGCCTGTTATCGATTGCTAGAATTTTGCCAAGAGCACTTGTGACCTTCAGGAACTGGACTGGAAATGGTTCCATTGAGGAATTCGGTGTACGAGGTACTGATGATCTGGCGTGCATTTGAACTAATGAAATGGGACAAAATTATCCGTGAAACTCAAGTCAGACACATGGCCCAGGCCCCGTGTCTTTCCCGTCTCTGTAGCAGTACAAAGGGGATTTAAAGGGCATTTCTGGATTTCCATGGCAAAGGGGAATCCCCTGCTAGGATAAAGCTGGAATCTTATACCATCTGATCCTTTCTCCCCACATTAGGGATGTTCTGGGACACATCCAGGACACAAAGGGACATCGCTATAATATAGTGTTCTCTGACAACCCTGAGCCAGGAAAAGAATCCTTGGGGGTGATCCCAGCTGGCACACAGCAATGACCATTTGGCTGCTTTAACTTGCAATAGGGGTGGTTCAGCCTCAGGCTCAGGCCCAGAATGGAAGGAGGTGGAGAGGTGGCTTCCAGCCATGTTTGCCTTCCTCCTCCTTGTGCTCAGGGCTGTGGAGATCTACACCTTGTATTTAAAAAAAAAAATTAAAAATACGTTGACTGATTTTACTTATGTAGGATGTGGCTGAAGCTTAAGTAGGTGTCTAGAGCCCTTCTTCTGTACAACGTTAGAGAGTAACAGGCAGGGGAGGGGACGGACACCTTCCCTCATTACATGGCAGGGCCATCGGTCCGTCCTGATGATCTTAACCAGTTAATTTTGTAGACAATGGTATGAGGGTAGTTGTTCTGAGATGATGAACCCACATCCAGAGCAACTCGTTGATGTGCTCTGAAAGTAAAAAGAAACTCCTCAGAACAGCATTCAGCCAGTTTTATGATTTCCAGCACAAAACTTGCCTTGCTAAAAGCTTTTTTCCTCTTCCCTGTGTTATAGTTCCTTCCTTGGGCAGAGTTGAGGCTGGAGCCATCCAGGGATGGATCCAGGGATGCTTCAGTGACTGGGAACGTGCCAGCGGGGTCTCAGAGCCAGGTTGGCATGCTGGGTTTTTGTTAAGATTGTGTGATATGTATCACACAAGTAATTAATGGGTCTCTTCTCTACAGCTGAAATTAAAACAGTGTCACTTGCATATATGTTAATTTTAGTGACTGACACCATGGGATTTGTTGAGTAACTCCTGCAAAACCTTTGTGCTGTCCCAGGCTTGGTACGGTTTGTCTGAATCTCTACCAGGGTGTAAGGAATTTGTCTCGTGCCAAGGGCTGTTCGTGTGTGCCAGGCTGCAGTTTTTAATGCTTTCTCTGCTCTTAAATGCTCGACCCATTCTCTACACGTTCCCAGAACACATCCCTTGTACGTACCCAGGTGCACTACGGTTGCAGGGACGTCTTTGCTTAACTTCTCTGGTTCTTCCATCTCAGCCATTTTATGGTCCACCTTCAGTCAAACTTGCCTCCTGCCTCTCTGGTCGTGCATCAACAGAGCTTCCAGCTAGTGCTGGTGTGGACTTTGAGGTTGGAGCAATGCAGGTGTAATATCAGGGTCTGGATTAAGAGCAACCAGTTCACTTTGTCCAAATGAGTGAACACTCCTTGCACATCCAGGATTTCCAACAGGTTTTCCAACAGGGGATTTTCCTCATCCCCTCATGCAGCCCGGCCATCTCTTTCTGGGGGCAAAGCCTTAACTGAGAATCTAAAATCCAACTCAAACGAGGTTCAAGACACGTTGGCTGGTATTGACTTGTTGATAATATTTATGGGAATTAATGTAATACTGCTCTAGTGTGCATGGCTTATAATTATAATTCACCTCACTGGAAAGGTTTGCACATACTGGAAAAGCACAAATCGGTATGAATGTTCCTTCCTCTCTTGCAGAAGGGATGATAAAGAATAAATTCTTGCAGAAAACGAAGGATTATAATTGGGGAACATTCCCGTATCACTAAGTAAAGCCAGCCATTAGCATCCTATTTGCATTTTCTACCATGCAGCAGGAAATATTTAAATTGACAAATAGGATATTTAATACAGCAACAGATACTTGGCAGTTAGATATTAACAACTGTTACTGATGTGATTTATTCACCCTTATAAAAAGGGCATTACTATGTGAATATGATTTAGAAATTAACTCCAGTTTACTGAGAGGCCTTGACTGCCTGACCTCTTAATATCCTTATAATGACGCCATTTACCATGCAAAGGCTTATTCAAGTCAGTCACTGCTAGATTTGTTTTAAAGGGGTCCACTGTAGGGCAGATATTTGTGTGTGAGCATTTCTCATTGGAGCAGTAGGCACAAGCATTTTTTTAAGTGGGAGAAATGAGGGACAGGCCAAGAGGAAATGGGCTCCAGTTGTGGCCAGGGCAGTTGAGATGGGATGTGAGGAAGAATTTCTTTGCTGAAAGGGTTCTGAGGCATTGGAAGGGGTTGTCCAGGGCAGTGGTGGAGTCCCCATCCCTGGAGGGATTGAAGAGTCGTGTAGACACAGTGCTGAGGGACATGGGTTAGTCATAGGGGACTTGTCAGTGTTGGGTTCATGGTTGGACTCCATGAGCTTCAAGGGCTTTTCCAGTCCAGGCCATTCTGGGATTCTGTGGCCAAAGCCTTGCTCAGGTTATTGGAGGCAGAGTAGCCTCGCAGCAGGAACCCACAGTACGTCCTTTGGCTACACCCTCAGTGTGGATTGGCCTCACAAATCCTGCCTGACTTCTGCGGGCTTTAATGCTTTGACATCTTCTGGAGGTTTCCATGAGGCTTTTATCATTGCTGGCAAGCACGTCCTGCACAGGGGTGGGATGGGCTTCCCTTCCGCCTGCCTGCGCGACACGTTCCACTGGCAGCCCTACAATCTCATGGTCTGATTTCTTGTGCAGTTCTGTGAGTGTAAATCAGAATTAACACCACTTAGAGCGGTGTGGGTGGAAGCAGAGCCCTGCTGCAAGTTACAGGGTTTTCCCAAAGTATCTGCTGTTTGGTAAAGGCGCGTCCTGCAGTGGGAATGGGCTTTGCTCAACCCCTGTGATGAGTGATACGTAACCTTACCCATGGATTTCACACTTCCCTGCTCCTTTTACTCACTTTAGCTTTGCCTTCTACAACTTCACAGAATATTAGGGATTGGAAGGGACCTCAAAAGATCATCCAGTCCAATCCCCCTGCCAGAGCAGGAACCTAAATGAGATCACATAGAAAGGCATCCAGGCGGGTCTTTAATGTCTCCAGACTTCCCTTTTTCTATCTCAAAATACCTATCTGTAACTGCAGGCTGACTTTAGTTATTGCTAATTAGTCTTCAGCTGAAAAATCCAGGTGTGATGTTTAGTATTTGGATCATTACCTATTTCATGTGACACAAGCTTTACAGCTCTTGAGCTCATCTATCTACTTTTTCTAATCGTTGCTAAAATCTGGGTGGTACAGGTCACTGTTTTGTTCTTAGCTTTTCAGTTTTCTCTCAAAAGTTATTTTTGAAGCCGTGTAAGAGTTCTGGTTCTGGTTGTTCCCGTTTTTGGAGGTGGTTTATCGCTGCCAATGATGCACCAGCACCAGGAAACCATAGGTATGGAGACCAACATGCGTGGAAATAAAGGCACAGACATTCTTTTACATGATTGCTGAATTTCACCCTTCTTGTTCTCTCTTTTTAAAGTCTTATTCCAATGCCCCTGTTTGTGTTTTGATTAGGTATGGGCAACAGACCTTGACCTTTGCTATAGTGACCAGCTGGCCTTGACTCAGCTCATGTTGTACGTGACAGATGGAAATCTGGATTGTCACTCCGGCCGCTTTGAGGTGGCTCTCCGTTCGAAGCCAATGAAAAGCCAGCCTGTTCAGCGTGAGGAGGCAAAAACCGTAAGCAAATATTGACAAATAAAATTATTAATGTAAACTAACAAAAAGTTAAAATCTGTAGAAAGAAGAATCCACTGAATCTGCTCCTTTCAGCTTTTAAACTGCTACTTTTAGATTTTACAAGATTAATAAAGTAATGGGGATATCATCATGTTAGAAATTAGGAAAGGTTCTGGATGCTTATGGGTACCTGATTATTCATCCTTTGTACTCAGTAATATTGCTTTGTGGTACTAACTAACTTCTGAATATTTCAGGTTGTTTTCAAGTTGTAAAAAAATGTGGTAATTTGTATGTTGCACGAAAAAGGAAGGAGCTGAAAGCACTGCCCTGATTATAGGAGTAATTTAAAAGCAGTCAAGAAGAAACCTGAGCCTTCAGCTCATGAGCTCTGATTGAGGATGAGAAGGCAGAGCACTGAAGTTCTGCCTCAGCTTTGTACTTTCATGCACAAAATAAAACAGTTTGGGCTACATCTGCAGAAGGATCTGGACACTTAAATCCCTCCCAGCTCTCACCTGAGTTAAACCCAAATCTTGGTACTTTGCTCAGTTCTTCAGCTTTGCTTAGTTCTTCAGCTTTGCTCAGTTCTTCAGCTTTGCTCAGTTCTTCAGCTTTGCTCAGTTCTGCATTCATCTAACTGTTCAGTATCAATATTCAATATTAATTATCCAGTATTAATTATGTACACAGTGATTTGAATAGGAAGAAAAACTCTTAGCCCCCAAACCAAGGTGAGTTCCTGAAGCCAGGGATATGCAGTCATACTCCTTCCTGCTCACTCTCCAGACCAAAGTTATCAAGTCCAAGAGGGAGAAGCTCCTGTTTGTGACACCGAGCGAGACAGCTGAGCCCCAAAGTCCCCCCTGCCCAATCTTTGTTTTCTATTGCCAGGTCATGTTCAGCCACACGGGCTGTCACACGCTGTGAATTCCCACGTGCTCAGCTCTCCAGGGGTTTGCTGAGGACTGTAGGTTTAGGTACTGAAATGATGAGTGCTGTGGCACTTGCTTCTTCTGATTCTCACCTTTAATCTCTTGGAAAGCTCTGAAGATAACAGTGCCTCCCAGGGGTGTGATTTTAAAGATGATATTTGTGTCTTGCTTTTAAATTCTTATAAACATGCTGCCAGAGAAGCGTGGTTTCCATGTGCCTTGCTTATTACACTGATTTGTTAAATCAGCTGAGTCTTGGTGCAGGATTTCATACAGCTCTGAACCTTGAGACTGTCCTTCTAGAAAGGAAGGAAAGGTGCTTAGAAAAGTCAGAGAACAAGAAATGTACGTGTGTGTACACACAGAGATACCAAACAGATGCTGTTTTACACATTTTGACAGAAGATTCACAACTCCCCTTTTTTTTCATACACAGAGGAGGAATGTAGCACCATTCCAAAAATGGTGTGGAGCTCAAATTTAGAGGTTAATAAGCTCTTGATCTATTGTGCTTGTCAAGTAACCACTTTTATTTGGAGAGAAGTAAATGAGATATGATTAGTCCCAGTAGTACAAGTTTTAGAAATGAAAAGTAATCAAGTAGCAACTTTTTTTTTTTTTTAATTAAAATTCTGTCAGAATTAACAGAAATTGTCACCATACCCTTTATTTTTCTTCTTTCTCTATTTCTGAGGTTTTTATCTCCTTAGGAGTGAACTACAAAAATGGACTCTCGCAGGAAAATATCTTCAGAAAAAGAAACAAACAAACCAAGAGACAAATGCTTTCACAGCACATGATCTGTAATGAATGATTAAGTAAAACACTTTGTGTAAAATTATGATGTTAATAATGATTCTGTCCCTTTTAATTTATTATAGATTCTCTATCCTGGTAGGTTTGATTTTGATAAAACGGAGCAGCCAAGTGAGTTTGTGCGATGATTTTATTTTTAGAAATCCTTCTTTGAAAGAACAAATTTCCTAGATACTGCTGCTACTGTAATTATGTACAAAACCAATCACTCATTATAGTTAGGATACATTATCTTCTAGACAGATGAGGCTAAATAAGCAACACATTAATAATTCATACTGCAGTTCATTATGCATGTGTATGCAGGCTTTGTAGCTGAAATAAGCACCTCATCAACCTGATGCCAACCCTTAAACAATAGTTCTGTGTTATTGCAGCCACATTCAAGTTTACGCTTGTTAAACTGCTACTTGGATTATTTTATCAAGCATTCATTTATTTGTGGTCCCCTACTGTAGAGAGCAGATTTTGGAAGCTCCTTTTTTTAAGTTAATGACTTGAGCAATGGGTGTTATTAATTCTCAGAATATTATAAACATGATTAATTTTCAGGCAGAGATGTATTATATAAGGATTTCAACTATGTCAACTTAAATGAGTCAATGTCAAAACAAATATCATTTTACAAAAAAACTACTGGAAATTACATGCTTCAACATGCAGTATCCCCACTCTGAATGAACAGTCCAGGATTAAAAACCACTTCACAGGAAAGATTTGGTTTAGGAGAACATCTCTAGGCACTTCTACTCAATGCAACATCTCTGTTCTTTTGTCCTAAGCACAAATAAGAGTTTAAACTCAAAAGCTGTACTGATTTTTATCCATAGTATGAACTCCACTGGCATCAGTTGTCTGGCTCCTTGCAGTCACCAGGCCTCGTCCCCTCAGACTTGCTGGAAAAATTGTGCGTAGTCATATAGTAGCAGAATGCTCAGGCTTGGAGAAACCCACTTGAAATTTAGCTTTAGAAAAACTGTTTAAAACCTTTTATTCTCTGGCAAAAATTACTGATAACCTACTTTGGAATTTCTGACTCTGGAACAATGTATGTTCCCACAGGGCAGGATGGATTCGGAGGATCCTGACCAGAACCACTCAGAATGATTTCACAGGGCTCGGTTACCAATGAAGCTGTGAAAATATCAAGACATGGTTCATAAGAGAGATTTTGTACTAAGAATGTTCTAAGAGTGTTCTTAACTAGAAATGTCTATGTTCAACAGACATTGTGATGAACAAGAATTCCTTTAAATAGAGTCTTACTTCACACTTAACATGAGTTCACTGAGAAAAAGCCATTTAGGTAGTAAACTGTTGGTTTCTGATACAAACCGGTATGGAAATAAAGACCCTGGTGTTGTTTTCTCTAGCTTTCTCCAATAAGCAACCGGTGTGCAGTAGCAAGCTGTCAGCTGAGGCACTCCAGCCTCTCAGTGATCTCCTATAGTGTTCTCCTCCAGATGTGTAAAGCTCACGGTGTTGGATTTGACCTCCAGGTATGAACAGGACTGATTAGAAATGTGATATTCACTCTGCATAATTTTGGCATGTAAATTCTGATATGGTGGAACCACTTAGCACAACGTAAAGTTTAAGTGTTCTGTTTAGCATAATATAATGTTTAAGTGTTCTGTTACAAACACAGCGAGGTGTTGCTCTACACTTTTACTGAAGAGGACTTGCTGTGCATCAGAATTGATTCTATTCTGTTTTCATGACGCTAATTAATGAACTCTGAATCGCATAAAGGTCGTCAGTAGCTCTGTAAAAATTAGTCTAATATTTTGTAACACCTGTCAGCTTACTTTAGCTGAGGTGTAAGTCCTGAAGAACTGCAGTACTGAGATATCCATCTGATTTGGCTGAAGACTGGAAGCAGTGGAGGATGAAGAGTACTACAGCGTGTTTACGTTGCTCAAGAGGGAGTGAGATGGTGTCTCTCTCAGAGACTGCGGAGAGAATGGAGTCCTGGTGGGTTTGTTTGCACGGCTCTCCGGGCAAAAAGGATTCTAGCTGTCAGCCAGGAGCTGGGCTTGGGTTTAGGACCATGCTAGCAGTGGGTTTTCATGAGAGCACTTGGCCATGATGCACCTCCGTACCCATATGAGAAGATAGATCTTGGCCAAGAGGTCAGGTGGTAAAAGAGAACAGAAAGAGGAATGAAGACATGAAAATGGGTCTTTGCAAGGAAAAGAAGAGCTTAGGGCTTAGGAACGGAATGGTAAAAGATTAAATGTAAAAGAGTTTGGGTGTTACACAAGACGGGACAGCAGACAGCCATCCCTGATCCTAGGGCACAGGGTTTCACTGGGAAATGCAGAGCATAAACCCTCCCTAGGGATGGCACCTGCTCATGAGACCTCTCACAGCGAGATGTGAAAACTGTTCCTTAGCACATCTAAAATCAAACTGTGAGTTCTGCTGATGACCAAACTGTTGCCAGTATCAGGCCTGTGATGAACCAGAGCTGGAGGTTAATGAAAGTTCACGCCCCATGTATATTGAAGGTGAAGTACAAGCTTTAAGAACAGGAACACCTAAGCATGTTTTCCCTGTCTTTCAATTTAAGTGGGTGTAAGGCTTTTGGGGGTTAACTTGTCCTTTGATAACAATAACTGTGTGAGGAGATAATTTTTAAGATACTTATGACAATCTCTTCCTACTTTGGAACAAAAATATTTGCTATTGAATAGACCCTGCTGTATGTATGCCATTTACACAAAGTTAATGTATTCTTTACAGTAAGTTAGAGCAATAATTGACTTACACTGAGCAATAATCCATTCCACACCAATTCCAAACTGGCCTTTCTTAGATGTGGCCATGTACTCACTGTCCCTGAATAATGTATTTATTATAATTATCAGAGAATCACAGAATGGTTTGGGTTGGAAAATACTTTAAAGATCCAGTTCCACCCCCCTGCTGTGGACAGGGTTCCCAACCACTAGATCAGGCTGCCCAGGGCCCATCCAACCTGGCCTTGAATGGGATGGGGCAGCCACAGCTTCTCTGGGCAACCTGGGCCTGTGCCTCATCACCCTCTGGGTGAAAAACTCCCTCCTAATATCCAACCTAAATCTCCCCTCTCTCAGTTTAAAACCATTTCCCCTTCTCCTGTCACTATCTGCCCATGCAAAAAGTCGCTCTCCCTCCTTTTATAACTGTTTTAGGAATATTTAAAGCAACTTTGTCTTTTTATTTAACAGGAAAAACAAGGAACAGTTTTTATACTGTATGAAGATCAGAAGCGATCCAGACTGGGAATGCTGTAAGTACACACTGTCAGTTCCATAGTCTGAGAAACGGGTGGGAGGACACTTGATGGGGAGAGCAGCTGCCGTGGCGTGTGCGCGTGGGCTCTGACAGGGGTCGTGATGGAAATGAGCAGTCTGAATATACGCGCTCAGCTCCACTGGCTGTCACCTCCTGTTCGGAAAAGTATCAATGACTTCTTGTAAGACTGGCTTTTTTGAAAAGTTTTAGGGAGGCTTTAAGCATTTTAGTAATAAAAATAAAAGTAGAGGAACCTGCTTAGATGGAAGCCTGACTGCATTGCAGACTAAAGAGCGACTGCAGTGAGCTTTCCAAGAGCTGGATTCACTGTCAATAGCAACCGAGCTCTGAGAGCACATGGATTAGCACAGGGCTTACTTCTACAGGCAACGTTATTAAAAACTTAACTATACATGAGGCAAACAAGGTTGAAGTTTAATCCCTTTTTATGTTGTTCTTCCCAAAGTGATCAATGGTGTCAGGCAGCAGCAGATCTCATAGCTTAATAATTCTTTATCACAGAATTGTCCAGATTGGAAAAGACCTTTAAGATCATCAAGTCAGATCATTAACCCAACACTTTTATACATATAAACTTCTCCTAAAAAGTCTAAGAAAGCATAACCTGCACAAATCTACTATACATTGATTGAAAACCTCTCCTTGGAGAGAATTTACATAAAGTTTACTGCCGAAATAGAAAATAATGAGTGAGGAGCTGAAACAGTCTGTTCTCAGACTGGTTTGTATTCCCTTGATGCTGGAGCTATTTCATTAATGACCTGGATAAGAAAACAGCTTCCTCGAGTGCTTGATGTGACTGCAGGTATTTTGGATCACAAGAAGAGAATTCACAATGATCTCAACAAATTGAAGAAACAATATGAAAAACAGAATTACGTTCAGCTGGAACCAGGTGCAAGAATTTTCACTTAGCAGTGACGAATATGAGGAACAACTAGCTTTGCAGAAAAGGATCTGTGAGTTCCAGTGGGTTACACACTGCCTGCAAGTCACAACGTCATGATCTTATGGGAAAAGGTAAACAAGAGAACCTGGGAAACATGGGAAGTAATCCTTCCGTTCTGCTCAGAGGGAGGCAATGAAAATGTTTAGAGTTCTAGAAAGCATGACTGACAAGGAAAGATGAAAAGGGAGGAGAGAGGCAGAAGTGAGATCTGCATCCAATCTTCAAGCACATAAAAAGCCTCTGCAGGAAGGAGAACTCTGCTTTCCCTGTCTTTGGTAGTGAGACAAGAAGAAATGAACTTAACTTGCAGCAAGGAAGATTCATGTTTAGCATAAGAAAAACTTTGGGGATAGTAAGGGAAGGGAAGAACTAATTAGATTGTTTGGTGTGGTTGTCATTGACTGTTTAGTAACAGATTAGACAAACCTCTGTCAGGATGATCTAAGTAGCATTGATCCTGCCCCCAGCACAGGGAATGGACTAAATGAATCCTCAAGATTGTTTGGAGGGCTGGGATTCTTTCAGCCTGCACCGAGCTCCGTGCAGCTGAGGCCGTTGGTAGGGTACAAATGAGTCAGATTTGTTTAAAGCTTAGATATTCCTGTGCTGTGCTGCTCTCACCTGCAGTCACAATGTAGGCCACGGGCATGATTGAGCTGTAAGAGAAATGTGAAAGAAAATCACTAAACAAGAATTTTTAAGATATTTACAAGAGTCATTTAGAAAGTGATGTAGGCACCTGAAAGTGTTCCACAAGCCACTAAACTCTCCTAACAGCCCACTGATGCTGAAAGGGAAACTCTTTCCTTCCCTGACCCCACTTATGGAGTCCTCGTACTTCTTGACCCTCCTTTTGCATTGTCTCTGGTACTCTTACACCTCTCCAGGGGCTGATTCAGCACAGCACCTCAGCAGAAAGTTTTCTTTTATTGGATTATTTTCCTGTGAGGTGAAGAGAATCAGTCCATGGAGGGGTGTATAGTGAGCTGAGAGCTGTGCAGTGGGGAGGAACTGAAGAGAGAAGGACCTGCTCTTTTCAGAGTCAGTGAACTGTCGCATTGGCTTGTCCCTGTTGGTGTGATTAGCCACATACCTTGGAAAAGGGAGTTCTTCTCTTAATGATACTGCATCCTACCCCCATTCTTGTTAACTCCTTTAGAACAGTACATCAGTAGGTGCTCCCCCAGTAAGAAACTGAACACCAGCACTTGGATCACCAGCTTGAATTGGCAGTAATTAATATATTACCAGAATACTCTCAAATATATTTGCCACACATTCTGATCCCAGGTTTGTCTTCCAGCAGACTTTTCAATACAATATCTTAATTTGGAAATACTTTCAAGAATATTCCAGTTTGAGCTCATAAAATAATTGAAATACCTGAAACATCTGTGTGAATTATCTATTTTACTACATTGGAGACCTATGTTCTAGTTGGTAAATGAGTTTCATTCTTCCTCAGCATAATATCCTGTGCCTTAAGATCGTATGTCCTGAGCGTCTGTAGGTACCAGTGAGAAACCAAAGCCTCAAAAGCTAAAACAACATCAGAAATGCTGACCCTGCTGAAATGTCTCTTGCAGATGTCTTTCACAAATTGCAGGCAGAAGCAACAGTTCTGAGCTCATCTGGGTGCTTAAAGCCTTCTGCTGCCTCCGTCCTAACTCAACGGTAGCCTTTTACTTGGAGTAGCTGCAACCTTACTGCTTACTTCTGCTAAGTTGATTAATAAAAATTATTTATTGCACAAATCCTTTCTGTTGACAAGTTAAAATGGAGCCTCATCTTTCATATCTCCCTGAAGATTGCCACCTTGTGAGATTGAAAATACTCATTAAATTCCATCAGCAGACAGGCACAAATGAGAGGGCGATTGTTTTTAAGCATGTGAAGGGAATCATTGGTAAACTCATTTGTTTGGATATCATTAACAGAACAATCGGAGAGGATCTCCAGGGGGTCCTCCTGACCTTTGCTCGCAATCTCTTCATCATCCATCAAGAAATATCAGCACCTAATATGCAAGGCGAGACCAATTTTAAGGTGAGGTGTTAATTAACTAACGATCCTGGTTAATTTCTGTACAAGGGCTGAAAATACCTCATGCTGTATCATAAACAAGTGCTAAACCATTCCTTTTTTTATTGCTGGCGGTATGTATTTTACAGTGTCTAGGTCAATATAATCAGTCTCCCAACGAAGCCGTTAGTTAAATTTAAGTTTGAAACTTTTTTTCTTTGAAAAGAGACAGACTTCAGCATGAAATGATTTGTAAAGACTCCTGACTTTCCATTGGAAGAGCAAAAGAGCTATTGACACCGCCTCAGACAGTTCTGTCACAATCGTCTCTTTTATTTTTAAAGGGATGTCATCAAGGTAGGGATCTTAAATGAGAAACAAACTTTTCCATTTATAATAGCTCCTTAGATTATTAGAAAGAAACTTTTCCATTTATAATAGCCCCTTAGATTATTAACACTGATTTCTTTTAAGCAGGCAGCCACTGAGTACTTAATCCATTAGTTCAGATCTTTCACCCCGCCATCAATTTCAGAAGTCAATTTTGTTCCCAATTTTCTCTGCTCTTTGAATCTGCCCGCAGCGCCCATCCCTGAGTGCCAGAGGATGCTCTGGGGTGGTGCGGGGGGAGGCAGGACAAAGCACGGGGGGGCTTGTCACGGTGGGAACATTCCCCCAGGAGCACCCACCTTTCCTCGGCAGCTCCTTTGTGCCGACCTTGCTGGCAAAAGGAGCCAGGAAAGCAATAATGAATCCAACCCCGTGCCCTGAAACGAGCACTCATTACAATGCTGCTTTTTTGATTCCAGAGAATAGCTAAACTTTCCGGAGGGAGTAATTTTGTTAAACTATATGACCTTTAACTTTATGAAAAGTTTCTAAGATCCTGTCAGGAAGCCTTCTGTAGCAAGGTGAAGGGGAGCACGGTGTTACAGATTGATGTCTCCAATCACATAATGTAATTTATATCGGATTCTTTCCAGGGTTAACTCTGAACTATATTTTCCTCTGACCAGCAGACTGTGAAATGACAGTTTTAGAGAAGATACAATTAAATTCCAACAGAATAAACAAACAATCCCCCCGCCCCCTTTTTTTAATATAAGGGAGTGAAAAGCAACCATTGACAAAAAATATAAAGGGGAACTGTTTTGCATAGTGAGTTAACAATGATTTACATATGCTAAACAGCACACCTGTTAGTTAATTAGAAGTACAAATCACAATCAATTGTATTTTTTATTTACCTGAAATTTGTACATATTCACTAATAATTCCCTCAACTGTTCCCGAAGTACCAGTAAACGAATTGGTGCATCATGTCCCCTGTACCACTGGTTTCCTTCTCAAGGCAAATCCCACCAGCTGTGCGTTTTGACTGCTAGATTTCATTATAATGCCCATTAAATAACTTGTATTCCTTGAATCTGTTACAGATGGCAATTAAAGATATTGAAGCCATTCTAGGAATTACAGCAGAAAACAAACTGAAATTGGAAGAAGAGCAACCTTGGAAAGCAGATGCTCTGAAAGAATAGTTAACAGAAAATGTTTAAGTGCCTTATTCTTTATGCTTCTGGAAACGTGTTCTCATCTGTAAGAACAGGTTTGGTTTCCCTTCTGCATTGGCACATGAAGTGATATTAACTGAGACATCTCTATGGTTTCTGAGAGTGGTGTTTAGAATATCCCTTCCTTCACAAAAATAAACTGCTGAAAAGCAGAGGATCATAATAAATGCCCGTGATATTCATATTGTCCTTCCTGAAGTACAGGATCTGTTTTAAAAATCTTATGAATAGAATATATAGAGGGATCACACTGTCTTTGTCACTAAATCAGACTCTATTGAAGAGTCCCATGACCCTAAATTCACTTTCAAACCTATTGTATTCTAAAATACATGAAGGTAGGTCCAGTGTTCTTCTGCCTTCAGAAGAACACTTCAATGGCATCTTATCAGAAAGGCCAGCAACCCAGGTTCCTCTTCAGAACCGACTGTCCCTATTGTTATCATCATTCTGCTATTTCTTTTCTTATCTACAGATTTTTTTTTTTCAGCAGTTGTTCCATGCTCACTTACAAATTATCAAAAATAATAGTAATGGCACTGGTTCAACAATAGATTCTGAGAGGACCATTAGAATTCTACCTGTGCTGTGATTCCCAGTATACCACAGCTTCTGCAGATCTATCCATTCATTTCCATCTATCCATGTATTTCAGATACTGCTGATCTTTTTTTTGTGTGTCAGAATTGCTGTGCACTGTTAAAGGACAACAGTTATATTTATAAAATTAGCTTTGTCCTTCAAATCTCCAATCTCATCCCAACAGACGTTCTGCGTTTGACTACAGAAGAGTGGATGGGCACTACTGTCCCAAGTGACAAGTATCTCTGAGGCTGCTTCCCAAAAAGCTCAGGCAAAACCAGTTTTTAAGATGAATAATAAATGTGACCAAGCAGTTGCAGCAGATCAGTGCCCAGTTTTTTCTGATGCCTGAGTCTTTGATCTGTCAGCTGCAAGCGCTATCTTTTGTGTTAGGCTGTTTCTCCTCTACTGTGGTCACAGAATTAATTCACTGCAGATGAGAATGTTTGCATAAATGCTCATCCCCTTTTCCAATAAAAGTCGAAAAATGTTTCTGTTTCATTCTTGCTTGGTTGGTTTTGTTCCTTTTCTTACATATAATCTCAATGTGGTCTTGGTTTCGGATAGACCAGAGCCCACACAGATTTTTCTAAGGTGACATTTAGCTAATGAATGAACTTCCTGCAAGTCTTTATGGTTAGAAATTAAAGGAACACAGGTATTTTTGGCTGCGGTAGGTACAACAATGACCAGGCTGGATGAGGCTTTGAGCAACCTGGTCTAGTGGACGGTGTCCCTGCTGCTGGCAGGGGGGGTGGAACTGGATGAACTTTAAGGTCCCTTCCAACCCAAACCACTCTATGATTCTATGATCTCTCACTTGCCAAGATATATGTCAAAAAGCAAAGCATAATTGCTTATTAATTCTTCCAACAAGATGAGATTTATTTGTTCTCCATTTTACTTTGAGGGGCTGAGGAACATCATGTTGTTCTGACTTTTTCCTCCCCACATTTATAAAGCACTCTCTCCTCTTTCACTGTTAAGAAGTAGATTTCTCATCAAGCTTCACACCTGAACTGTATAATGTCCCAGTTTGGTCAGCAGAAGTAATATCCTGGAGGAGAAGGAGGCAGAGGAGAGCGTGGTAGTATCAGCCTCTAGGAATCAGCTCTGGTTTCTTAAGGGTTAAAGAAAATTAAGCCTTGATCTAAGCCAGAACAACATAAGGTCTGAGAGGCTCATTAGTTCACTGGCACTTAATAGACTGCAGTGTCCTAGGAGTAAATGAAACCTGCACTTCCTTATGTCTTTGTTCTGTTCTGACAAAAGAAAACTGTACCTGTTTTTGCAGAGGACAAGTGATCTGAAAGTTCCCGTGGTGAGAGAGATTTCTCAGTATGTGCAAAGTGTGAAATGTATTTTGAGGGGAAAAAAGTTTTTAATTACTATTAACACTTCTGAGTGTTGAGCTGATGGAAGGATTGAAACTGCTTTACAGTCTCTCACATTCATCTCCCATGCTGCTGGTGCCCAAAATGTAATTTTTTTTTTTTTTTAGCAATACAGCAGATATTAAACAAAATTATAATCCTTAAAAAAAAAAAGAAGTCAGAAATATAGACATGATTCACACAACTGGATTATTTATTCCCACTCACTAAAGAATCATGGAGTTCTTGAACTGTAGCTTGAGTTTCAGAACATCACCTAGACTGGGAAGAAAATAGAGCAAGTGGGAGTCCAAAGATAAAAGGTGGCCCAGGGTGTAGGCATCAAAAATTGACTCAGAAATGTGCAGTAAGCACGGCAAAAGCCCAAGGTGTTCCCCAGCTGCGAGGTCTGCTGGAATGCTTGTGGAAGGAGATGAGGGGCACTAGGTTTTGGTATCAACTGCAGAAGATGCAAACAATGAAAATAAAGGTTTTGTGCTCCTGATCTGCAAATGAAGATGTGCTTTCAGCTGACAGCACTTCATCGATCTCATCTTTGCAAGGATTGACCCGCTGTCTGTAGCCCATGTGCTACCCATTTCAGGTCATTCTCCTGGGGGAACAGTACCTGAAATTCATACTAGAAAACTGGGTCTCCTTTTTTAGATAGTTGGGTTTAAAGCCCTGCAGAAAAAGGGCATTCAGCCCAAGTTTCCACATTTAGAGTGACAGGTCTGAGCACAGAGCAAAAAAGCAGTTCATCAGCACAACCACTTCCAGATGTCTTCTGAAATAAAGTGTTCACCCTACCCCTTTCCTGGAAGATCTCCAATACCTCATTCAGATGGATAGTTCAGGAGAATTTACCACCTTCCATCTAGGTTAAAGTAACAAATTCCTGGAATTTTAAAACTAACCCAGTCCTCAGCATTTCACAGTGATTACCTAACATCACTTTCCATTTAACAAATCACCCATCACAGGTCTGAGGTTCTCCCTCTTATGGTGTACAGATCCTCTGTATTTCATTTTAGACCCCAGATTTTGTTACAGCAATCGGGCACTAAAGATTAGAAACTACAGTCATTGGCAACCTTCATAAATGTAATTTATCATCTTGACTGAAGAGTGGTTAGACTGGTTTTTAGCTTCATCACAGAGATGTGTATTTCAGGAGACTGTTTTGAAATAAAAATGACCAGACTATACCAAAATCCAATGAACACAGAAACCTGAACTCTACAACCAAATATTATTAACAGAAGACATTTGGAAGAATGCTTCATAATACTTCCAGCCTCGTCTTTAAGATGGTTGCTCACGACTTTTCCATACTTTTGAATATTTAATGTTTTGCTATGTATTTGTAAATACAGATGCTACTTCATTCCATCTGTAGCACGTTGTGCAAGCAGAGGTGCATCCGTGTTCTCTTAACCAGGTTATGCTGCCAGAGGCTGGAGGATTTTCCACCACTTCTTCCACTTTTAACAGTAAGGGCAACACAAAGTTCACTGCAAAATATCTTCAGATAAGTGCTTTTAAAAATCAAAGTAAGTGTCATACGTCCACTTTATAGGCAGGAGCTTTACAGGAGGTAATTTTGACCATGAAATGTAACAGCAGAGTATCACCGTCAAGGTGTGATACATTAGATTGACCCTTCACCATGGTGAGCCACAGCATCAAGAGTCCAACTTTCTCTATCCTCAGTCACTGCCTCCACTAATAAAGAAAGATATTAAAGCTAACTATATGGTCTGTTAATTATAGGAAGGTGAACTTGAGTCAAATTTGTTCCCGACGATGATTAATAATTACTGGTTCTACATGCTTGTAGTACATACAGTAAGTAAACAGGGTACATTGTTGGGAAGTAATTGATTAATTAGCGCATTCATACTACATAGCTCAATGGTTTAAGATTGCTGAGCTTGAGATATTGCTCACTATTATTAAAAGGAAAAATCTATTCCTATTTCTCAGTTTATTCTTCTGTACAGTCTTTTTTTCCTCAAATAGAATGTTTAATGGTTCAAAACCTCAGCTTTTATTTAGAAAAATCATCTAATGGAACATTGGTTATGACTTTAAAATTTTTCTCTTCGAAGGGGTCTAACGCTTTCAAAGGACTATTTTTTAACTTGACGTCACTGTCAAATTTCACCAAGTAAAATCAAAATATAGACGTTTCCTTTAGCACAGGTTAACCTGCCTGGAGCTGCAGCTGTGAGACGTGCCAGCAACACACAGGGTGCTCCCTCAGCGGGTGCGCTGCAAACAAAACCAGTCCTAAAAATGCCATTTCCCCCATTCTTTGTGATATTCTCACTCACTGGAATAAGCATGAACGTCAGCCTCTCTGTGGGGACAGCGGCAGAGCTCTGGGTCTGTGCCGAGCAGGGTGAAACCATCCCCTCGCTCCCCGGGGCTGCTTCAGACAGCTCCTGCCTCACCTCCCCTCAGCGCCGAGGGCTCTGCCATGGCCTTTCCCGCCTCTCCCCTCCTCAGCGCCGAGGGCTCCGCCATGGCCTTTCCCGCCTCTCCCCTTGCCCAGACCCTCCTTTCCCCTCAGGAAGCCGCACACACCAGGCTGCCCCGCTCTCCCTCACACCCACAGCCCAGGGGCTCCGATACCATTGCAAGAGAACGTCCCCTTCTGCCTAAACAATGTGACATTGGAAGGCAGTTACGTATCAGCTCAGCCTGGTCAAGTTTATAGTCCAAAATAGATCACAGGAGACTGAGGCGTCAAATCTTTAAAACAGGGTAGATAAGGTAATGATGTCTGAATAAACTGCTTTTGTGGAACCAGAAGTGGTGTGAACAGCCCAAAAGAAGCACACACCAAAGAAAAATTCAGTTAGTGGCTACGGTGACAAAAATTTCCACCATCATCAGGCGACCCCCCGAAGATGACCCGTGTGCATGCGAAAAGGACATTTAAATATATTAATGAGTGCTCAGAAATGTGAGGAATATGTTAATCATTTATTGGAAAAATAAATGAATATCCATGTTTTAATAGTGTAAAGCTTTTGTAGAGGGACAAGTCGGGATGCACACTGGGTGGAGCGATCCCCCGTGCACCCGGGGCTGCAATAACGAATGCCGGCTGCTTCAGACGGCCATGGCTGTGAAGTTCATTCCCGATGCCGGTGACAGC